ATCTCTCATGAAGCCATTAAAAAGTTGTTGTTAGAGATGAAGATAATGAAACTGAAAATGCTCATTTCAAGATATAATATTAAGTGGGAAAAATCAGAATTCTAATCAGACTAGAACTTAAAGAGAGAGTAAATCAAATATTAGCAATAAATTATCTGGATGCAGAATTATAAATTTTACATTTTTGTATTAGACACGTTTTCTACATTTAAAATATAATTTTTACAATAAGTGAAAAATAATATACACAATTTTTGAAACACAAGCATTAAGAACCCACCCATAATAGGAATGTAGTATTGTTCCCAAGCATTCATTTATAGAAGAGGAGTCTGATAGCAAATATAAAGTCATTTTTGAAGCACGAATTTTAAAATAAAACCTAACTCCCTTCAAGAATTCAGTAAGCAATAGTCATCCAACAGAATGTGTTTTAACACTTTCTGCATCATATCAAGCCTAATCTTATTCTATGTTTTTCATGTCTGATACATTGGTTTTCACTTGTAGACAAACACTATGACAAATGCTATAACTTGAAGGTTGTGCCAAAGGAAGCCAGCTGCCCCAGTTACAGGTTTGAGTACAGATAGAAGATGCCTGGGAAGCACTGTGTCCTTGCTGCACAAGAGTAGACAGCTGAGTCTCCAGGTTCAGTGGTGGCGATGTGCAGAGAGAGATGTTTGGCCATCTTATTCAATAAAACAGTCCGTCTCTGGCCTTCATTTTTACCCATATTTGAACGAATGTCTATAAGGAGCTGGAGACCTTTTCCAGGTTCTTACTTATACCAAGGGAAGTAGCTTGAGGTAACATCTGTATAAGTACAGGTGATAAAACAACTGTTTCCCTCCTGAACACTCAGGGTAGAAGGACTCTGCTCCACCTTGTTTCCCAGGCTGACACCTATGGAGAAAGTAGAAGTCAGAGAAAGGAGAAAGGAGAAGGACTGTCAAATTATTTAGCTGTAGAGTTTACTTTTCCTTTTCTACAATAACTAGAAGAAACCTGAATAAAGCCAGTCTTGGCATCTAAAGAATATCTACTAATATACTCTATTTCACTTAAACCCTCAACTCACTGTCCAGCTGCAGCCACAAGAATATGACTAAAGCTCCAATGGGTGTCTTCATTGTTTTTCCCATTTAGGATCAATTGTGGATCTGCAGTCTCCAGCCAGAAGAGCTGCTTCTATTACCAAGTGTCCCCTTCTTTCCTAGCAGTCATAGTGGTTTCTCACATTGTCTACCCAGCCAATAATAAAAAGGTCCTGCTTCTGCTCTAAGCCTATTCATTCAGAACCCACTCAAATGAACCCTCCATATGTTCTGATCAGCCGAGGTGCACCACCATCTGGTGGTCACATCTCTAGCTACTGAACTCTCTGGTTAAATGTTCTTCTCATACCCTGTGCTTATGAGGGACTCGGATGCATAAAGACAGCATGAGATTAAACAAACTAGGTGTATATCAGAGAGTAAATGCACAGTAAGAATGTAGAGATTAAGATTTAGATCTCTGCACAGGATTGAGTCACTGTTAATAAGTCGGAAGAAGATAAATGCTGTTGCCATTTATTCAGGTTTGAAATCAGGAAAGCACCATGATTTACTCTCTCAAACAAAGAAAATGTAAAATCTTCCTTTTCAGCCAAATCTAACATCTCCATTTGTCTGTAATGGAGAAAATAATCTTTGTGAAAGGAACATGAAAATCAAAGAGCAGAAAAGATCATCTGATATTTCAAAGATCTTTCAAACTCAATCTCTGCTCCTCTAAGCTGGTCTTGCCCATGACAGTGCTATTCCCAGAGAATTGAGAGTACCATCAGTCAAAATGTGGAAACTTCCTTCAACAAAGATCGTGATGAGGTGAAGGACCAAATCTCAATGATAAAGGAGTAGGAGGAAGTTCTATGAGTTGGGAAACAGTTCAACCTGTAGATTGTGTTGATTTACAATGAGAAATCGGACGTTATTTAAGAAATCTATTCCTATCGCTTATGTGGATTATATTCTGCAAAGTATTGAGAGAAAGTAAACATCCTCATAAAACATCAGGCTGCAGATTCAGAAAATAACCATATGTAAATTTATATTACAGGTATTTTTACTCTCTGATATCAAAAGCTGTGAAAGTTGCTCAGTCATGTCCAACTCTTGCAACCCCATGGACTATACAGTCCATAGAATTCTCCAGGCCAGAATACTGGAGTGGGTAGCCATTCCCTTCTCCAGGGGGTCTTCCCAACCCAGGGATCGAACCCAGGTCTCCTGAATTGCAAGTGGATTCTTTANAAAGTAGCTCAGTCATATGTGACTCTTTGCAACCCCCATGGACTGTAGCCCACCAGGCTTCTCTGTCAGTGGGATTCTCCAAATAAGAATACTGGAGTGGGTAGCTGTTCCCTTCTCCAGGGGATCTTCCCCACCCAATTTTCAAACCCGGGTCTCCTCCACTCTAGGCATATTCTTACCATCTGAGCCACCAGACATCCTCTATTCTTTCTACCATCCTCCATAGGATATAATTCCCTAATAATTTATAGGGAGATTTGTCCTCTTCTAAGAGACAGAGAGACTTCAGGTCAGTGTTTTCCCCTTTAAGTTATGGTATCCAGGACAGAATAGTGTAGTTTGAATATGTTCTGCTCAGCACAGTGTTCCACATATTAAAGTTGAGTACAGGCACAGCCATCCCCTGGGCAAAATTTACTGCCCCAAAAATATTTCATTGAACATTGCCTGACTTACATAAAAAGATGTTGATCTGAGAAGGTTTTTTCTAGTATCTTCATGGGCTGTCAAACAGAATAATGACAATATTTTCCCATAGTCTTCAGATCCAATAATCATTTTTATAACAATGTATTAGGGATGCTCTAGAGTTATATCTTGCCTTCAAGAAATCCCCCTGAAATAATGAATACAGCTGCTCTTTTTAGAAACGTTCTTAAAATATATCTTAGTGTTGAGATGGCACATTTACTTTCAGCTTTATTACTACAAAAGCCTGTGAAGGATGGTCTGCTGGTAACAACAAAGGCTCAACCTGAGGCTCCTTTCCTGCCCTAAGTGTCAAATATTCATATAAATTGGGATTCTTTATTCAAGTGGTCAAATAGATTCCCACATCCAAACCTACAGTGACCTAAATGGCTGGCCTTAGTTTCTCTTTGCTCAGAAATAAGGCCCTACAGGAAGAAAACAGGGGAAAAGATGCTAAAGAAGTGAGAAAAATCCAATTTCTTTCTTCTCCCAAATCAGTTAGTATCTAATTGTTTTCTACTGTCATCTTGGATTAGTTTCTGTTTTGTAAAATGAAGTTGGATTAAAGGATTTCCAAAAGCTCTTCTTTTATACTATGTAATAAAGCAAATATTTATTGAGGACCGGTTATGTGCAATGTACAGTGACACGAGAGTGGGGAGAAATTGCCTACATCATGGAACCTGAAGACCATTTTCACATCCCCATGCAGCCTCGGGAGACTGAGATTGTCACAAAGCAACACGGGGGTCTCTTCAGAAGCAGAGGCAGGGTCCTTGGGACCAGATCAGATCTGGCTTTTCACTTATAAGATCAATGTCAGATCAAGGTGAACCTAAATCTGAAGTAAAATGGAATAAAATGGGACTTCACTCACTGAGTATCAAGATCACCACATGGATGAGCCATATGTAAGCAGGGAACTTGTTTCCAGAGACGTATTTTTAATCTTTTATCTATAACATATATTTCTTATTTTAAAAAAAGAAAGAAAGAAAGAAACTCAGTGACTTATGGGACCTGAACGAGGTGGATGAACTCACTCACAGGTAAAGCAAAAAATTATTTCTCAATCAGCCTAACTGCATCCTGGCTTATAGCTCCTTCATCCCAAGTCTGACTTGGGTACTCAAGATTCCCATGACAAAAAGCACTACAATATTGTAAAGTAATTAACCTCCAACTAATAAAAATAAATGAGAAAAAAAAAAAAGATTCCCATAGAGGGATGACTATAGAATTTGTGGGACTCCATGCAAAATGAAAATCTGAGGCCCCTCGTTCAGAAAAAAAGTGACACTAAGAAAATACAAATATCTTCAAAAACATTTTCTTACTTAAAAATGGCAATAGAGTGTATGCATGCATGAGTGCTAAGTTGCTCTAGTCACGTCTGACTCTTTGTGGCCCTATGTAAGGTAACCCACCAGGCTCTTCTGTCCATGGGATTCTCCAGGGAAGAATACTGGAGTGGGTTGCCATGCCCTCCTCCAGCAGATGTTTCGCACCCAGGGACTGAATCCATGTGTCTTACATCTCCTGCATTGGTAGGCAGGTTTTATTTATCCCTGGCACCATCTGGGAAGCCCAGTAGAGTTTATAATGATATATTAAATAACAACATAAATTTAAAACTTGCAAAAAATATTTTGGATCTTAATTCTATATAAATTAATAAATACTTATTAATATCATATCTTGTTAATAAGATTTGCCTGGCTTGCTTTTATGCAAATAAATTTATTAGGATATAAAAATTATAACTTTAACAATTTGCTTTCAATTAACATAATTGAAAGCAACGTCAGTTGCTATTGGTAAATACAAGATTATAAACAAAATTTTTGATAATTTTTAACTGTGAGAATATTTCTGTTGATGTAACTGATACTAGAGCTCTTGAGTATTTTGTATGCTGTAACATAATATAAATATCTGATAAATTAGTTTGAAATATAAATTCTAGTAAAAAAATTCTACAATTTTTGTAGAAATGACTTAATTCTTCAAACCAATCATCTTCATGTAATTCTGAATTTAATGCCAAATATAAATTCATACAGGGACATTTTAATGTTTTCACTGACATTCTCTGTAACTTGCAGAGGGCATAGAAGACTAAAAGTGGCTTCATGACTTATTTATAATTAAGTGCTTATTTATACATCATATCAGTGTTTAATTACAAGAGAAGTGAGTATAAATTATTTTTCTATGTTAGTAGTTGTTTCATTGGGTTAACTCAAACATGAAAATGCTATTCTTTTTCATTGAAACTATTATCACATGCAATTTCAGTTTCTACACTTATGAAAATTTGCTTTCCAATGTAGCAGCAATTTTCAAAACCAGAGTTTCTCATTTTCAGGGAATTCTAATATCTCTCCCACAAGCATTATTGTGATGTTGACATATAAACATTTATTTTGTAATAATTGATCAACAAAGTTTACTGCTACCCACTTTAGGATCCTGCAGAGTCAGAGATTGACTCAACCTTCTATCAAAGGCTACTGTGGGGACACGTGCCAGCCCGCGGAGGGGCGGGGCTGGGGCAGCTGCAGTTTGGGCACAGGCTGCAGGCCACCTGGGAGCACTGTGCCTCCACCGCACAGAGGTAGGTGGCTGCGTCTTCCAGCTGGGAGGCTGCGATGTGCAGGGTGCTGTACAGCTCCTTAGAATTCACTGTGGAACTCAGCCTTCCATTCTGCTTCATCCCTGAAGCTATGAAAAACAGCCTGGCGAGGCTGCCTCCAGGATTCTGCTGGAACCACTGCACACTGCTCACTGTGGCAGAAAAATTGCACCTCAGAGTACAGTTGGCTCCCTCCTGCAGATTCAGGACTGAAGGGCTCTGCTCCACCTTCACCGCTCTCACCCCTGCTTGGGAAGAGAAAAACAAACACATATGATATCTCAGGGGAGTCATGAATGCAGTTTCCAGAACTGTCAACTATCTCAGGAAACACCCATGAGGATGCAGGACCATCTAGAAGCTCTCTCTGCATCAGCTCACCTTCCCTCCCTCCCCAGCTGCACTTAGGACAACCCAGACTCACAGCAAAGCTGGACCCACAGAAGCCCCAGCAAGGCTTCCCACCACCGCTTCATGACTCCTTGCTCAGTTACTGGGGTACCTCTGCCCCCACCCCGGAGGATGTAGAGTCTTGGGTCCAGAGAAGTTCTCTTCTTACTGTCAAAATGTTCCAGTTTTACTGGAACTCACCAGTATTACTGAGAACCAGTCACATCTGAACTGTCATTCACTTAACAGGAAGCTCCACCCACAGGCACCCAGGGAGATTGTGCAGTAATCTCTCCAAAACTGTGGTTGCAAACAGTGCAGGAGGGTAGGAACAATGTTTGTAGTATATGGAGACATAAGGCATTTAAAAAACACTTTATGTAGGAAAAGTTTGTGCAAGAGTGTGTGAGAAAGGGTGGATGTTACTTCTGAGAAGATCAGTGTCTCAACTGTGTTAAATGGAGCCTTAAAGAATCATAGAAAGAGTGAGCTCACTCCCAAATTACTTAGAATGACTGAGCATTAAAGAATTCAGTTGTATGACAGTTCAGCCTTTAAAAGGAATAAAACATTGTCATTTGCTACAATATGGATGGCCCTTGAGGGCATTATGCTAAGTGAAGTAGGTCAGACAGAGACAAATATCATATAAATACTCCACTCCATGTGGAGTATTTTTTTTTTTTAATCAAGCTCATAGATACAGAGAATGAATTAGTGGTTGCTAAAGGCAGGGATGAGGGGTGGAAATGAAATAGATAAATGGGGTCAAAAGGTACAAACTCTCAGATATAAAATAAATGTTGTGGGGGTTTAATGTATGGCAAGATGACTATAGTTAATAATACTTTGTTGCATATTTGAAAATTGCTAAGAGAGTAGATCTTGAAAGCTCTCATCATAAGAAAAAAAATTACAATTATGTATGACACATGTTGCTAGACTTGTTGTAATGATCATTCCAAAATATATATAAATATCAAATCATTGTGTCACATACCTGAAACTAATACCATGCTATGTGTTCATTATACCTCATTTAAAAAAAAAAAATTCAGTTATATGTAAATTCTAATAAAAAGAAAACTGATACAAGCAGTATGTATGAAGACAGTGATACATTTTCTTGAAATTGAGAGCTCTAGAAACCCAGAAAGTACAGTTGTCATCTGCACAGAATATTATTCTAGTAAGATTTCAGTGGATTAAAAGAAACACAGGATATATGTATAATGTCCATTCTGACAAATTACTTAGAATGAGAGAGCATTTAAGAATTCAGTTGTACGACAGTTAAGCCTTTAAAAAGAATAAAACATTGCCATTGGCTACAATATGGATGTACCTTGAGGGCATTATGCTGAGTGAAGTAGGTCAGACAAAGACAAATACCATATAAATACTCCACTCCCTGTGGAGTTTTTGTTTTGTTTTGTTTTTAAATTCAAGCTCATAGATGGAACAAATTAGTGGTTACCAAAGGCAGGGATGAGGGGTGGAAATGAAATAGATGAATGGGGTCAAAAGGTAAAAACTCTAAGATATAAAATAAATGTTGTGGGAATGTAATGTATGGCAAGATGGCTATAGTTAATAATACTGTGTTGCATATTTGAAAGTTGCTAAGAGAGTAGATCTTGAAAGCTCTCATCATAAGAAAAAAAAAATTGCAACTCTGTATGACACGTTACTAGATTTGTTGTAATGATCATTCCACAATATATATAAATATCAAATCATTGTGTCATATGCCTGAAACTAATACCATGCTATATGTTCATTATACCTCATTTAAAAAAAAATAATTCAGTTATATGTAAATTCTAATAAAGGAAAACTGACACAAGCAGTATGTGTGAAGACAGTGATATATTTTCTTGAAATTGAGAGCTCTAGAAACCCAGAAGGTACAGCTGTTATCTGCACAGAATATTATTCTAGTAAGATTTCAGTGGATTAAAAGAAACACAGGATATATATATAATGTCCATTCTGACTTAACTTCCACCTCCCTCCTTCTCCTGCCCAACAGGCGAACAGATGTGCTAAACAGCTGATTCTGAAAAGGATACACATTGCTGGTCAAATTAAATATTGTCCTTTTCTTTCCTCTTTCTGTGTTTACTTTTTAATTCTTTCGTCTTTGTTCTTGAGTATTCTTGCATCTTCTAGTCTCAGGGGAAATATATGAAAACTTCCTAGGTCCATGGAATTGGGAGAATTTAATCACAAAATTTAAATATTGACAACAGGTAACGGAGATGTTTCCTGTTGGGCTTCCATGCTCACAGAGCTCGGTAATATTAATATCCCCATTCCTCTACCTCTGCTCAGAGAATCATCCTCATAATGGATTTAGAGAGGTAAGGACTACAACTTTCCTAAGTCTGTAGAGAAAGACAAAGCTGAAACTTTAGATAAAGATTACACGAACACTGCTCCCCTCTCCCCACCTCTGCCCTGCATCATCTGACTGTTCTGTGCTCTCTGGTTGTTGCTCAGTCACTTAGTCTTGTCTGACCCTTTGTGGCCCCATGGACTGCAGCACAGAGGCTTCCCTGTCCTTTACCATCTCCCAGAGCTTGCTCAAATTCATGTCCATTGAGTCGATGATGCCATCCAACCATTCATCCTCTGTTATCCCCTTCTTCTCCTGCCTTCAATCTTTCCCAGCATCAGGGTCTTTTCTTTTGAGTCAGCTCTTCACATCAGGTGGCCAAAGTACTGGAACTTCAGCTTCAGCATCAATCCTTCCAATGAATATTCAGGACTGATTTCCTTAGGGATTGATTGGTTGATCTCCTTGCAGTCCAAGGAATTCTCAAGAGTCCTCTCCAACACCACAGTTCAAAGGTATCAATTCTTTGGCTCTCAGCCTTCGTTATGATCCACCTCTCACATCCATACATGAATACTGGAAAAACCATAGCTTTAACTAGACAGACCTTTGTTGGCAAAGTAATGTCTCTGCTTTTTTTTTCCCCCATGCAAGTAGGTTGACTTTATCTGTATCAATTTTCTTTTATGGTACACTCCCAAGTTTTGACAACTTGTTTAGCACAATTTAGCTGCAAGCACTTAAAATAGTCCTTTTTTTTTCCCTTTTTTTTTTTACTTTTTTATTGAAGGATAATTGCTTTACAGAATTTTGTTGTTTTCTGTCAAACCTCAACATGAATCAGCCATAGGTATACATATATCCTCTCCCTTTTGAACCTCCCTCCCATCTCCCTCCCCATCCCACCCCTCTATATTGATACAGAGCCCCTGTTTGAGTTTCCTGAGCCATACAGCAAATTCCCGTTGGCTGTCTATTTTATACATGGTAATGTAAGTTTCCATGTTATACTCTTTCCATACATCTCACCCTCTCCTCCCCTCTCCCCATGCCCATAAGTCTATTCTCTATGTCTGTTTCTCCATTGCTGCCCTGAAAATAAATTCTTCAGTACGATTTTTCTAGATTCTGTATACATGCATTAGAATGTGATATTTATCTTTCTCTTTCTGACTCATTTCACTCTGTATGATAGGTTCTAGGTTCATCCACCTCAACACAACTGACTCAAATGTGTTGTGTTTTATGGCTGAATAATATTCCATCATGTATATGTACCACAACTTCTTTATCCATTCATCTGTCAATGGACATCTCAGTTGCTTCCATGTCCTAGCTATTGTAAATAGTGCTGCAATGAACAATGGCATCCACGTGTCTTTTTCCATTTTGGTTTCCTCAGGGTATATGCCTATGAGTGGGATTGCTGAGTCATATAGTGGTCATATGGTGGTTTTATTCCTAGTTTTTTAAGAAATCTCCATACCGTCTTCCATAGTGGCTGTATCAATTTACATTCCCACCAAGAGCATTTACTTTTCTCCACACCCTCTCCAGCATTTATTGTTTGTAGACTTGTTGATGATGGCCATTCTGACTGGTGTGAGGTGATATTTGTAGTTTTGATTTGCATTTCTGTCTTTGCTTTTTAATATGCTGTCTAGGTTTGTCATAGCTTTTCTTCCAAGGAGCAAGTGTATTTTAATTTCATGGCTGTAGTCACCATCTGCAGTGATTTGGGAGCCCAAGAAAATAAAATCTGTCACTATTTCCATTGTTTCCCCATCTATTTGCCATGAAGTGATGGGACTGAATGCCATGATCTTAGCTTTTTGAATGCTGGGTTTTAAGCCAGTTTTTTCACTTTCCTCTTTCACTTTCATCAAGAAACTCTTTAGTTCCTCTTCATTTTCTGCCATAAGGGTGATGTCATCTACATACCTGAGGTTATTGATATTTCTTCTCGCAATCTTGATTCCAGCTTGTGCTTCACCCAGCCCGCCATTTCACATGATGTACTCTGCATATACGCTAAATAAGCAGAGTGCCAATATATAGCCTTGACATACTCCTTTCCCAATTTGAAACCAGCTTGTTGTCCCATGTCTGGTTCTGACTGTCGCTTCTTAACCTGCATACAGATTTCTCAGGAGATAGGTAAGGTGGTCTGGTATTTCCATCTCTTTAAGAATGTTCCATAGTTTGTTGTGATCCACACAGTTAAAGGCTTTAGTATAACCAATAAAGTAGACGTAGATGTTTTTCTGGAATTCTCTTGCTTTTTCTATGACACAACAGATGTTGGCAATTTGATCTCTAGTTCCTCTGCCTTTTCTAAATCCAGCTTGAACATCTCGAAGTTCTCAGTTCATGTACTATTGAAGCCTCACTTGGAGAATTTTGAGCATTAGCTTGCTAGCGTGTGAAAAGAGTGCAATTGTGTTTGAACATTTGCTCTCTGGGCTCCTTTCTTTGGAACATCTGAAACAATCAGTCTTTACTTCTTGTAAAGCCTACAGCGCCCCCTAGTGTGCAGAAACAAAGCTCACTTTAGACCAACTAGTTGGTGATGGACAGGGGGGCCTGGCATGCTGAAGTCCACGGAGTCACAAAGAGTTGGACACGACTAAGCGACTGAACTCACTCACTCAAATCAACATTATATAACCCCAACTCCATTCACTTCCTGTTTCTTGGTCAAAGAAATGCTGAAGATCAGAAAACAATATAACTATCTGGATTAAATGGGGATTAAAAATGAACCAATCCTACTTTTAAGATGGAATTTCATGAAAATTAATACCATGAAATAATTTGACAATTCTCATCTACTGCTATTTGATTTTTTTTTATTTAGTTCAAAATAAAGGCATAAATGTTTACTAAAACTAGCAATCTTGATTCCAGCTTGTGCTTCACCCAGCCTGCCATTTCACATGATGTACTCTGCATATAAGTTAAATAAGCAGGGTGTGAATATACAGCCTTGACGT